ATAAACCAGAAGACAGATGTAGTGGTTATGCTAAAAGCATTCCCTTTACTATAGAATGTTCTCAAATCCAATTTTAAATAATGTGTTTGCATGACAGTCAAACTCTATTTCCTTGCCAGAATTGTACCATTATGTAAAGTTGCAAAAACTGGGGAATGTGAAACAAGTTAAGTCTAGCTGAGTGTCTGTGAAGGTGGCCCAGAGGAGAGTGTGCTGTTCCCAGAAGGTGGCCCAGAGGAGAGTGTGCTGTTCCTAGAGGACAAAGGAGAGGAGGAGGAGGAGAGAAAACAAAGAGTGAGAAGAAACAGGTGGACCAAAGGGAGAACGCGGCGGTGGAAAAGGAGAAGACAGAACGAGGCGGGAAATTTGAAGTGAGCTTGGTGGAAGAGCACGGGAATAAGAAAGGGGAGGAGCAAGAACTGTCAGTTTGTCATGAGAGTATAAGTAGTCAGGGGGAGCGGCGGTTCGAGGTAGAGTTGGAGTTGTGGAAACGGAAGAGGGAGCTCGAGAGGTTGAGAGAATATGAAAGGCAGGAGCTACTGAGAGAGTTCCCCAATTTGAAGCTAGGCGGGCTGCTACTGGATCCTGTACCGAAAGAAGGAGGAGAGGTGAAATACGAGATATTAGAATGATCAGTGGTAGTCTTCCCAAAGAATAAAGGGCGAGGGCGGCAAGTGATTAGACCAGATTCGCGATATAATACTCCCCCTCTGAAAGGAAACAGGGCACAATACTCCCCCTCTGGAAGGAGACTGGGCACGACACTCATGCTGCGGCACCATTTGCGCAGTGCGGAGTGCACCGCTCAGGAAGCCGACAGATGCCGAGAGGTTTGGCCCAGCACCCCAGTGAGCTCAATGGATGGTGGTTGGGACTATGTGTGAAGACAGTTATGGCATGTTGCCTGAATTAAGCTTTTTCGATCCCATCATGAATAATGTTGATTTGCCTGTTACTAATAAAGAAGTTGTTAAAGTTAAGAAGACATCTCTTGTGATATTTCCTGCCCAAAATGAGGAGTTGTCAAAATTTGAAACTGAACCCATTCACAGTGTCAAACTACTAGAGAGGTGGCTTTGAAATGAAAAGGTGATAGGCAAATTTCCCTAGAAAACACATTTTCCTTCTAGGGACATGATTTCTTCAGAGTTCCATATGTGAGCAATCAAACTTACAAATGAAGCCAAAAGCAAGTTAATTTGAAATACAGTGGTGCCTCGCAAGATGGGTGCTCCATTTAACGACGAATCCGCATTACGACAAGGTTTTTGCGATCGCAAAAGCGACTGCAAAGTGACGTTTGAATGGGGGAATTTCGCTACGTGATGATTGGTTCCCTGTTTCGGGAACCGATTTTTGCTTCCCGATGATCAAAACAGCTGATCGTCGGGTTTTCAAAATGGCCACCGGGTGCTTAAAATGGCTCCCTGCTGTGTTTAGGAGCCATTTTTCGCTGCACAGGCACTCGAAAACGGCCGCCCCTATGGAGGATCTTCGCTGGACGATGAGTTCTTAGCCAATTGGAATGTATTAACCAGGTTTTAACGCGTTTCAATGGCTTTTTTATTTTCGCTTTGCGACGTTTTCGTTCTACAGTGATTTCGCTGGAATGAATTAACGTTATAATACGAGGCACCACTGTATCCGGAGGCAGGGAAAGATCATACATGTACTTGGATAAATAGACTTCTTTGACATCTGAATGAGGTGTGTTTCTAATGACATGTCAATGGATGAATGACCTCAGTTACAGAGGTGTGTTTCTAATGACATGTCAATGGATAAATGACCTCAGTTATTCATACTCTTGGTAGATACATGTGCTAATACTGTATATTGTGCAGGCAAACTAGCATGAGAGCTGCTTCTCTACAGCTTGATCCCACCTGATTGCAAGTGCATGACAGATTTATCCCCAAACTTGGAAATAATACATTAAATAAATGTTGAAATAAGAGGGTCGTATGGTCATCATTGAACCATACAAATGTAGACACAGGTGTGTTATTTTCTCCATCAAATCGAAGGAAGAAACCCATTTATTGGACACTTCAAAAGTAAAGCTTTAAAGGTAACACTGACGCATTTCAATATATGTAAAAAGTATTACTTATGTTCTGCTTCTGTGTCCATACTTCTGTTCCCCATAAAGCAAGCACTCTTGTATCTCCCTATGAGAACTAGCTATACATAAGTAGTTTCTAGCCTTGGTGCTTCAGATTTTCTGCAGTGCAACTCTTAAAAGCCCTAAGTAGGACAGCCAATAGGGAGAGTTTCTGGACCTGTTGATTGAGCTGAGTAGCCTGTTGTTAAGACTTTGCTTCCAGGCAAAGCTTCTACACAGTGTTTTGCTAAAGCTATTTGTTTGAAATTGGTCAGAGAAATTGCTGGTTCTGTGGAGAGTTAGTGTTTTTGGATGTTATCTCTTTCTCTGTGGTTAGAGAGATGAGATCTTGTGTTAAGCCTCAAATCCTTCACAGTCTAATTGTTTTCCCAATTATCATGGGATTTGTAGTCCATGGGGAGGAGGACACAAAATGGAGAAGGCAATTTCAAAATGGCCGAAATCATTTTTGTAGGAGCCAATAATAAATGTGCTACTGAGGCCTAGATTGACAACTTTCATACCTTTCTATGTGAAGTCCACTGTTGATTTCAAAGCTGACAATTTAATTGAGAAAATCTTGATGCTGAGTCAACAAATTAGCATATTCAGGCTTAAACATTAATAGCACCAAATCAGTCTCCTTATTTCTAATATTTAAACACCTATTAATTAATTTTTGGCCCTAACTTTCCAAGCTTTGATTTATCCTCTGTGCTGTCCTCTGAAGATGCCGGCCACAGAGACTGGTGAAACGTTAGGAAGAACAACCTTCAGAATACGGCCAAAGAGCCCAAAAAACCCACAACAACCACTTTGATTTATCTCTTTACATTAATTTATTTGGACTTATACCCCGCCCCTCTAGACAAAGTCTACTCGGGGCGGCTTACAGGAGTAATAAAATATGATAAAATACAATACAATAAGATACATAATGATAAAACTTACTAACAGATGCATATATAGATTATAAAGATGAAATAATTGAGAAAGAATTAGAAAGAAAGTCACACTGACTGCCATGGATGCATTTTTCACATACAGTCTCTATTCCTATGGAATGATACCATATGGAACAATCCCTATATTGCGTGTGAAGGGCATCACAGTGGTCAGATACAGAGACAGAAAATAAGTTACAGATACGGCTGCGGAGAACTCTATATTTGATTAGGAATTCTCATGTGTAACTAGGCCAGTCTGAAAGTGTTACGGCACATGGTTTGTGTGAAAGTGGAACTGTCCTTGTGACTTCTGTAAGAGGGTTAGCGACCTAATTAATACTAAACAGTCTTTCCATTAAAACTTTGGCTAAATAAATGCTCCATATCTACTGATGTTTTTAAAGAAGTATTTGTTATTTGCAATATGCTGACTTTTTTTTACATCCTGAATGCGGGTTTTGGTGGAATAAACATCCATTTGCCCCAAGAGATAGCTCAAAGCATTTACGCTGTCATTTGACTATCATCATCTGCATTTACATTACATGGTACATTCAGCCAGGAATGCTATGTAGGAATTGATGTTGGTATTTTAAATGATTTTGATATTTTAGACCAACATCAGTGTGCTGAACACATGAAAGCTGCAAGCCTTGAGCATCTTCTCTCTTCTTTCTGAATTCCTTATCCTCCTTCCCTTTGTTGACCTTATTTCATTTGTTGAACCCTAAGTCTCTGATACACATTACAGATTGTGCAAAAAGTTAAAATAAGTTTGTATACTTAGGGTGTTGATCCTCAGATAGAAACATGCCAGTCCTGTGGAGATAGTGAGAGAAGATTTGTGGCTGGTCACTATGGATAGCAAGAAGCTGGATTAGCTTCAGTTTTGTCTGATACCGTTGGGCTCTTCTGTGTTCTTCCATTAAAAGAGTTTAAGTATATAATAATAAACAATTCAAAATAAATGTATGAATATGTTTTTCATATGAATAAAGGAACCTGCCTTATAATAAGTAAGATAACTGGCCTATCCATCCCAGTGGTTATGGTCACTATGGATAGCAAGAAGCTGGATTAGCTTCAGTTTTGTCTGATACCGTTGGGCTCTTCTGTGTTCTTCCATTAAAAGAGTTTAAGTATATAATAATAAACAATTCAAAATAAATGTATGAATATGTTTTTCATATGAATAAAGGAACCTGCCTTATAATAAGTAAGATAACTGGCCTATCCATCCCAGTGGTTACCAACTTTGAAGGAACCTGCCTTATAATAAGTAAGATAATTGGCCTATCCATCCCAGTGGTAACCAACTTTGGGTATCCAAATGTTCTTGGACTAAAACTCCCTGAAGCCTTCATTGATAGCTGTTCTGGCCAGGATTTCTGGGAGTTGTAAAGAACATCTGGACACCCAAAGTTGGGAACCATTGATCAAGCCCTTTAGTCCCTATACCAGGCATTTTCAACCTATAGGGCTCCAGATGTGTTTGAACTTCAACGATATGGGCCAGAATTCAGTTGAGGAAAACTCTGTGTCCAAAGGCAACCATGAAAATCGTTTTTCTCTCCAGCAGACTTTCCTTTGTTACATGCCTTTTTTCACAACCAGTGTGAGATGGTACAAAGGACAGTCAACCAGAGGGGGAAACCAGTTGTGTCATTGCCCATTAGCTGCATTTCCTCAGCAAGATTCTGACCAGTTGGGTAAGATGCAAAAGACTGACTTAAATTTTTGAATGCATCCATCTCCATAAATGTAGCTATTAGAAAAGTGTTCTTCTTGTACGCATTTCCCCCCCCCCTCAAATTGAATGAAAACAAGGACATAATAAAGCAATTTAGAATGTAGCAATTTGTGAAAATGCTCTTTTCTCAATTGGCACTGCTTTTTATCTAGCACAAGGCTCACATAGTTATTCTCTCTCTCTTTCTCTCTCTCTCTAGGACGTCAACATGTGCTCTTCAGAAACTAGGCACTGCTGTTCACAGTGCAGCCACAGAATGTTCTCTTAGCATCCAGTAACTGTCAAAGGTGTGCAACTGGACTTCTGGTCTAACAGAAGCGTGGCTGACCCATTGACCCATTAGCAGAGGAAATGGACACCCATGTGGACTTGTTAACAGAGCTCCAGCTGCTGGATAAGGTACCCACACTAGAACGACTCCGGGCAGCTCAGAAACGTAGAGCTCAGCAGCTGAAGAAATGGGCACAGTATGAGAAGGAGATGCAACACAAGAGGAGGAAACATGAGAAAAAGCGGAATGTTGTCAATCGCAAGAAGGTTTCTTTTGAGGCCAGTGTTGCACTGCTGGAAGCATCATTAAGGAATGACATTGAAGAAGGTAAGAAATGTCGAACATTCTGGTATTACATGTATCTTATATTTGGCTTCAAAAAAGGTGTAACCACATATTGTGTTCAGGTGTGAAAACAGATATTGGCCCTGAATTCACAAGTACTGTATTTGTGAAATTTGCGCAGTCATGTGAGGTGGAGTTCTTCTGAATATGTATATATGGAAAGTTTTGTGGACATCACATCCTGTGTTTCCCTAGTATGATTTTGATGCTTATGCTGAGCCTCGTTCTACTGCAGTTCATATTGCAGCATTACTTCTACCATTGGTCTGACCAGCTTTGCTGCTTTGTGATCTTCCTTGACTCATTCATAGATGAGGGCAGCTAAGGATGCTTTTTTAGATTAGTAGAGTTGTAACCCAGCTGTGACTCCATGTTGGCAAAAGTGGACTTGCACTGCTGCCATGAAGTATACTGCTGCCATGCACTTTTCCTGGGGTTGCAACTGCAAACTGGAAATTTCAGTGAATACGCTTTTGGGTAATTTAGTTGGCCTATATGATGCTAATATTGAAACCATTGTACTGATCACTTGTGTGTTTCTAGATACAATTTGAACAGTTGGCATTAACATTCAGAGCAGTTCTAAATGAAATTATCTGAAGGGCCACCTTCATACCTATCCTAGCTGCCCTTTGAGATCAACTTTGCAGCCCCTATTTGTCAGAATGTAGGTGAGATCAATTAGGTTGACAGTCCAGAGGGATAGGGGCTTCATATTGGTGGCCTCATGCCTGTAGAATGCTACTCCACTTGAGATGCACATGGGTCCTTTGTTATAGGCCTTTAAACCTGTATTAAACATTTCCTTCTTCTGAGCTGTCTTTTTAAAATGGTATGTTGTGGCAATGATGGCCTGAATTGATCATTTGCCTATGTGCTAGCCTACGTGTTTTAGGTGTTAATTTTAATTGTTATTGATTCCCATTGCTTCATGGTACAACATTATGGTGGCTGATGGTGAATTCATATGAATCTCATTCATTGGAAGCAATGGCTTTGTCCCTTAAAAGCTGCCTCTAAATATTTTTGAAGGTGCTGGATTTTGTCTAAAGTTTGTTACACTTATTGTCACTTGAAGCTCAAATCCATTAGTCAAATGCTTTGGTATTTGACGTGGCAGATTATTTGAAGGAGCAGGAAAAAAAGGAAAAAAAGAGATAAAAAGAAAGGCCTAGGATAACACTGAAGAAATCAACTGCATAAAATTCAGGGAATGGCTATCAGACAGTACTAAGTAGATGGGCCAATGGTTTAACAGGGCTCCCTACATACAAACAACCAGGGGTCAATTTAGGGATTAGTTGACAATCAGAGAAGTTTTGAGAAGTTTCACACAGCTTTTGAAGAAGATTCAGGAAATGATGATGTTGGATTTTCCCTAAAATTAAAAAACACAAACTTTTTATAAGAAATGCCCTGTTATTAGATGCTCAAATCTATTAGCATTTCAGAGACTGAGTCAGCTCTCCATGACCAAGCAATTGTACTTGCAAAGTTATGCCAGTTGTGCTTACCTTCCTCTGACAAATCGCAAGAGAAAGAAAACTGCAAATTGCGGGAGGTGTGAAAAGCTCTGCTGTGACAAGCAGACTTTCTCAGTACTTAAGGAAATCCTTCTTCTAAGAGATGTAGGTAATACCCTGTTTTCCTGAAAATAAGACCTAACCTGAAAATAAGCCCTAGTATTTTTCAGGATGCTTGTAATATAAGCCCTACCCCAAACACAAGCCCCAGTTAAGTGAACCCTGCCCTCCACCATTGTGCAGCAACCAGAAGATGACATGATTGTATTTGAAGAAATGTTAATTGTTGTACATGAAAAAAATCCCCTGAAAATAAGCCCTAATGCGTTTTTGGATCAAAATTAATATAAGACCCTGTCTTATTTTCGGGATTTTTTGGTAGCTTGTTTGGCCATCAGAGTGAATTTAAAGGTTTCTCTACTTTCTGAAAATCTGAAGAACTAGAAGCAAACTGAATTTGTTTTGGTAATGATTAAACTTTTCTAGTGGAAGAAAGTTCACATCAATGTATATCCTAGACAGTTAACTTTGCACTGGGCTTGTTTTATTGTTTAGACTGATAAATATTGATTATGAATAGGGGCTTTTGCATTTTGGTTGTTCTAAAGATTTATATGCAGTCTTCCCATATTTTGTTCCATTTTGCTGGCTGTCTATCATGCACTCAAGTGCTTAAATCTAATAGTAGCATTCCTTAGGGTGGCAAATTAGAAGAACTAAATACAAATGTGTTGCAAAAGCAACATATAATGAAATTTATGTTAAACTGAGACAGTGCTATTTATGATAGTGCTATTCAGCTGAAATAGATTTTTGATTAGTTTTGTCAGAATACGGTCTGAATGTAGTTTATACCAAAACAGAAATTATAGTTGGATCCTTTAGACATATTAATGTCATTTGAAAGGAAATACCATATGTATATGAAATATACATCTAATTGTTTAGAAGCAGAGAGGAAGATGAAAGAAGGATTAGCCCAGATATTTCCCTACTTGGTTCAGTCATTAGACATAAATTGTTCAGCTAGGATAAAGCAGTAGGATATTATATGGTATAATCTGATATCAAGATGCAAAGAATAGATTGCTGGAGGGAAGATGATATCATCTCAATGATGTTGTAAACAAAATGAGGAAGGAAAGAAGCAGTTTTTCTTTCAGTGTTTGCATATCTAACCTGTTTTAAAATATCAAATGTTTCGAAGTGGTTTTTCAAGCAAGTAAATCTGAGACTAATAACAATCAGTATGTGAAAGCTGAAGGCCTTTTAATCTTTTTATATGGTAATTGTAGCCTTGAATAGTAAGAGGAAAAAACAGAGAAAATGGACAAAGATGCATAATTGATATCCATTGATATATAATATACCTGGAAATAATAATATTTACCATTGAGATCTGAAAAAGTTGGCTTTACAGAAGTACCTAAAACCAAAGATTATTAAACATTATTTCCCCCAAAGTTAATATTTAGCTGGTTAAGGACCAAATAAGACTTGCTCTTGATATGTTGTGTGCAACTAAGTATCTTTTTCTTCTATAATAACTGGAGAGAGGGAATCTATGGAACATAGTGCATGGAGAGGTTTATCTCCTCCCTCCTCAGTACATTGAAGAAGTGATACCCCTCCCCAAAAGGTTACATTAAAAAGTCCCCATTGGCTCCATTTAAGTGTTCTCACTGCAGCACTATTTGTATGTATTTTGCAGTGGTTGTTTGTGGTGGTGAAGGAATTGATTAATTAATTCATTCATTTATATCTCACTGTTCCTCTAGTTAGCTCAGGGCAGCATGCCTCTACTCTCCAAGTTTGCCTCAGAAAAGCTGTATGTGGTGGAGAATGTGAGTGGGCTAAATCACATTTATGGACTTGCGAGTAGAGTTCCGGTTCCGGCTGTAGGGTGGGGCAGCGTTTGTGTCTCCTTGCTTTCTGTTTTTAATTGTTTTAATCAGTTTTAAATAGTTTTAAACAGTTTAAGTTTTAAAAGTTTTTAATTGCTCCAACCGTCATCTTTTAAGTGGGATGTGGTGGCACTGCGGGCTAAACCGCAGAAGCCTTTTGCTGCAAGGTCAGAAGACCAGCAGTCGTGAGATTGAATCCACGTAATGGAGTGAGCTCCCGTCGCTTCTCCTAGCTCCTGCCAACCTAGCAGTTCGAAAGCATGTAAATGTGAGCAGATAAATAGGTACCATCTCGGTGGGAAGGTAAAACGGCATTCCCTAGTCATGCTGGCCACGTGACAATGGAAACTGTCTTCGGACAAGCACTGGCTCTATGGCTTGAAAAACGGGATGAACACCGCCCCCTAGAGTCGGACACGACTGGACTAAAAATGTCAAGGGGAACCTTTACCTTTACCTTCATCTTTTAATCTTGGCTCTGGCAAGTCTTTTAAACTTTTCTGGAGTCGCAATAAGATCGTAGGGAATTGGCCTCCCAAGCGAGCCGAAGGAGAAGGAGGCAGAGATTAGCTTCAGTCTCATCTCACTCTCAAATCACCGCCCCCTAGAGTCGGACACGACTGGACTAAAAATGTCAAGGGGAACCTTTACCTTTACCTTCATCTTTTAATCTTGGCTCTGGCAAGTCTTTTAAACTTTTCTGGAGTCGCAATAAGATCGTAGGGAATTGGCCTCCCAAGCGAGCCGAAGGAGAAGGAGGCAGAGATTAGCTTCAGTCTCATCTCACTCTCAAATAATGATAACAGCTGCATTCAGCCATAACATAGAGCTGGAAGACTTATTTATTCACTTTTATCTGAAACAGAACTCCTGATAATTTTTTAATGTTTGTATCAAGCTCTTGCCCCATCCTGTTTTGGCATGCGAGCATTTACCTGCAGAATAGCTTATTGCTGAACTCTGGAGTTTTTGTATTTTATCATCTATTTTAACTCGGAACCTTGGAGGTTTTTCAGAGGGGTTGTCGGAAGAAGATCCCTCACACAAGAAGGAGGACAAGATAAGTAACCTTTTATTTGTTAAGCTAGTGAACAAATGGCCAGGACTTAGGTTTTCTTTTTTGGGGGGGGGGTTGTTGCTTCTGAGAACCACTCAGGACACTTTGAATTTTCAAATTAAGGAATTTAAACCAGCTATCATGATTCTCACTAGGCAAGGTTGCAAGTTGCTGGGGACCTCACCCCAAAGTGCTTGAATTATCACAGAGGAAAAGACAAACAAAAAATTCAGCCTTTTTCCCTATAAGAACAAAAAGGGGAAAGGGAAAATCCACTGTGGATATTGATTCCTTAGATAACCCTGATGTACCTGCGAGTTATATCAACAATCTGGACTGGTCAGTAGATTACTGTTGGGGCAAACTGGAAATACAAACTAAAGAGAGAGCATTATATTTGGCAATGGAAATTGCTCAAATTGAAAGCCTGGAATATACAACTCTTGGAAATGATATAAGATATTCTTCTGTAAATATAGAAGGGGAGATAGGACAGGA